AATAGCAAATATTCTATACTGATTATGTATTAATTAGGTATAAACTATAATAATAATTGGCTTTAACTTTTTATTTTATTATTTTCGGAAAATTTTAAGAATGGCTATTCTGTAGTTTATTTGTCTGAAAATTTCAATGTATCACACATTTATATCCGAGGAATAATTTCTAATTAACAGCCGTTTAATATTCTACTAATGCGTATGGAAACCAATATTATCTAGGGAATAACTTAACCGCGTTACGCGATAATGAGATATTTAAGGAGTATATCTTTGTGGGACGGCCTCTATTATCAGCCTAAAAAAAAATTAGTAATAATTTAATAATCTTAAGTCATTATTTTCTACAAATAAATATAGGTAAATATAGGCGACCAATCTATTTGGAAACCAACTTTTTTCCAACCATAATCAGACGTTAACCCAAATATATCATACCTATACCCAAAACGTACAAACCTTCTTTAGCAATCCACTACCTGTGTCACTATCGACTAATTCAATCACACGTTATGAAATAAAGCTACATGTTAAAAAGCCACAGAACACAACATAATAGACAACAAAATTCTTCAACAATTATTACACAACCTTTTTCTAACTCACATTTACAATTCAACGCTTAATCTATCTTACAAACCTCCAATATAGAAATTCTCAACTATTATTTTAATCTTCAAACCAGCAAAACCAAAATACCTAGTGTCTTCATGTTGTCCAGTTAGCCTAATAACGTTATTAAGAAAACTCTTTTCAAAAATGACTACTTAAAAGAATTACGCCAATCGTAAACGAAAATAAAATCTTACCTAATAACCAATTAGATTTCCGTTCGAATTCACCAAATTTATAGAGTTATTGACAGAATATAATTATCATTCGAAAATAAAAACATTTTCAAGGTTTTTTTCTCAATATCACACAAACTTCGTTCTTAAAATCCTTAAATCGTTCCTAACTATTCAATATTTTCTCATTCTAAAATTATTTCTTCAAGACAAATTTTTAACAGTCATCATATTAATTATAACTCCCTTCACACTAAAAATCAATGCTGTAATACACCAAGGAAGCGGCTTTTCACCTATCATTTATAATATTTATATACATTCCCTAAAATTTGCCGTACAACTTTAGTAGTATATACCGATAATAAAGCTATACTAGCATCAAATAAAGATTCAAATATAAATGGTTCCGATATACAATACTACTTTAACCTAATTTCGAATTAGACTCATAAATAAAAAAATTAAAATAAATGAAAACAAATCAGTGTTTAAGTAAATTTTGCTCTAGTCAAAATGAATCCCCTCAATTTTTTTTCAGTAACATACTTATGCCAAATAAAATGTAACTAAATACTTAAGAGTTTTTTTTTTTGATAAACGGTTAAATTAGGCCCAACATACCAAATATAAAAGGAAACAATCAAACACTCACCTGAACCTCATCCGCATATTATTATATACAATTTTTTATTTACAAAACAATTATTAATCCCTCCTCACCCTCTGCGTATTAATGGCCCTTACATGTGACTAC